TCTTTATCTTGGATCAATTGCAAGGTTAACAAGGCAACAAGTACAAAAATTAAGAAAAACGAAATAGAGAAATTTTGGACAAAGTTCACAAAAGACAGACTTTTCGGTACAACTGTACTTTACTGAAAGTTCATTGTTTTCGAATTTATTGCTTCCTTTCACGGTACAAGGAGTAATTAATTTGCTGGTATCCACATAAACACTCAGGCCCTCGAGAGAGAAACTCTGTGATTTGCAACAGGAGCATTGTAAGACAAAGATTTACGGCATAATCACATGACTCCAAGCGCCTCGGCCGTCTTTAACTCTACGACGAATTACTCGATCGGTTGGCACTTGATTTAAAGCTTTAATTAAGTTATTTTCTCCTTGTTTCGGTGGTTTTCTACTGGTTTTCAATACAACTAGGTCTGGAAATGTCTACACGAGAATGTTTCACTGTTTGGGGAACAGAGTTCAGCTCCCGGCTTCTGTTTAATACAGTAGACGAAAACTGAGTTCCATTATGCCAAAGCACGATGAAAGCCAACAAAGAGATGTCAAAAAGCTGCCAAAAGCTAATAAAAAGCAGATTGATAAATTGGCTGCGAATTACAGCTCATTGATCACTTCAATGCTAATTGAAAACTTGCATACTATCAGACGAGAAATGATAATTTGCATGCTTGTTCCTTGTTTACATGGCTCAAGTTTTCATAAACTTCAATAGGCACAATTTAATTTTCACTCCTATTTAGCATCCTTATCTCTTCCTCCTACAGTGAAAAGACAACTTAAAGTGAGACAAAACTGACATTCTAACTCACACCTTATTTAACATGCAAACCGGCCCCTGTCCCGTCCCGATCGCTTCGCTCATTCTTCTGTTTCGCGTTCGCCGAATGTTTCTTTTCCCTCCTCGCCAGGAGCCTGTTCGCAGGCTAACCTTATTAGGCCCGAGTCAAACACCGCACTTCACATGAGCCGAACCCAATTTAACCAAATAGGCTCATGTAGTTCGGCGTTTGACCCAAATAAGTTCGACTGATTTTATTTGGAGCGGCTGAGGCGTTCTTCACGCCGGGCCAGCCGCGAATAATGCCTGACGACCGACTTTGGGTCAAACGCCGATCTTCACATGAGTCGAACCAAACGCATAATCAAGTATAACCAAAGTCGTGTTCATGTATGAATGGTGTAGCGGTTCGGTTCGACTGAATTAAGTACGACGTTTGACTCAAACAGGCGTTCTTAATTATTTGAGTCGACCCAACTTCCCATTAGGCTCGGCTCATGCGAAGTACGGCGTTTGACGGAGGCCTAACATGTTTTTTGTTCATTCGGCATTGAAGAGAGAGAAGGCGGCTCGGTCATTGTTTTACCAATACTAGAACCACCTTAAACCTTTACTAATACTAACCTTAAGCCTAAACATTGTCTTAGTGTAGTATGTTAGCCTAAAACATTGTCTTCGTGTAGTACTTAGGTCTAAGGTTAGCATTAGGAAGGGGTTAGGGTTGTTCCAGTATTAGTAAAACAATGACCCGTGACCTGTGTTTAAGACCCGCCGAGTGAGGCTTACTCCTCAAGACTACTTTAATGAATTGACTATTTGAATATTAAACCCGCTAGTCGTTTCAAGAATGCAATAGTGAATTATTATTTAAATGTTGAGCTCGCTAGTCATTTCAAAAAATCAATATTAAATTGATTTTTTGAACGTTAAACCCATTAGCCGTATATTTGGAACGACTAGTGGGTTCAATTTTCGAATAATCAATTCGTTATTGCATTCTTGAAACGACTGGCTGGTTCAATATTCAAATAATCAATTCATTAATGTAATCTTGAGGGGTACGCTTCACTTGGTTTGACTGAAACATCTCGTAAAACAAGTAAAAACCTATACTGCTAAAGAAAATACACCGAAGGAAGGTTTCGTGATGAAAAGCTGCCTACGGATCATAAGCTTTAGGCGGCTTTTTCATCACGAATCGTTACGTAATTCTTTTGTTTTAATTCAATCTCTCACCTTGTGGATTAGAGGGCAAACTTTCTTCTTGAGGTTGCATGACTAGCACTTTTCGATGCTCTTCTCTGCGATCTGCGGGTTTCACAGTTCCATTTGGACTTGATACATGAAAATTATTATTGTTAAAACGTAGAGGTAATGCGTCTTTGATGGAGAAATGAGAAATTTTCCGCTTTGATGGACTAGACCCCATACGGTTGAGTTGCTTCATAGAGTTTTTAAATGAATTATTAGCTGAGAAGACATTTGAACCACTAAATCAGGCACCGTTGTAAATAGTTTGACTGTCGCAGAACACTCAACTGCAAACCGTCGCAAAGTACTCAACTGATGCACTGAAAGTTTGCTAAACAACTTACAGCGATGATGACGTCAGAAAGGTCTATAAGAAATAACAAGTACTTGAATACCATGCTTGGTTGCGTGTTGCTAAAAACAAACAGCAATGCCGATGACGAGCGGCGTTTTCACTCACGTAGCCAGCATTCATCCAAAGTTATTGGAGAAAAAGAAAGTGTTAGTGTTTATATTGGAACGACCGGAACAGAAATATGGCTGCCGTGACGTCATGTGAAATGGCTCTATACGTGGTTAACCCAGTATAATGGTAAAAACAAAAAACTATCTTGATAGGTCTCTTTTATATCATGCCATAGAAATGAAAGGCAAATGTGCACAAGACACGCTGTTGTGATAAACACGAGAAAACAAAGCACGTGTTATAAAGTACGATATGATTTTAAACTTCCATAACGTCTTCATAAATGACCTTTGAGGTAAATAACAAGTAAATTTAAATGTACTAACGAAAGAAAACGAAATTACCAGTTCGCTAAAGACTTAGAATACTGTATAGAACAAGAAAATAAAGTGACCAGCACAATAAATCTGACCTACGCGTAGCGCACGATGAGAGGTTTGGGTGTGATACCGTCGATTATACAACGGCTTTTCTATATTCTGATTGGCTGTATTTTCTATGGTATGGTACAAATAAAGATGTTTTTGCATACTTGTAATATCCCGACTTTAAATGAAGTTTTCACTTCAGTTCAGTTCATTCAAAGACGGCTGATTTCAAAGATGCGCTGAAAGGATGCAAAGTCACATCAGTCACTCAGGAGGCGCGAATTCATAGACTCGTTTAAAAAGACGCAAATTCACATCACTCACTGAAAAGGTTCCAATTCACAGACTCGTGTAAAAAGGCGCAAATTTACATCACTCACTAAAAAGTTGCGAAATCAAAGTGCGCTAAAAGGTTGCGAATTCACATCGGCTCACTGGAAGGTTCCAATTTACAGACTCTTTTAAAAAGGCGCATATTCACATCACTCACTGAAATGGTGCGAATTCACCGACTCGTTTAAAAAAGCGCATGTTTACATCACTCACTGGAACTGGTGCCAATTCACAGACTCATTTAAAAACGCGTAAATTTACGGGCACATTCAAAAAAGCGCAAATTTACGGGCATGTTAAAAAGCGCAAATTTACGGAAACGTTAAAAAAACGCAAATTTACGGACACGTTAAAAAGCGCAAATTTACGGACATGTTAAAAAGCGCAAATTTACGGGTATGTTTAAAAGCGCAAATTTACGGACACGTTTAAAAGTGCAAATATACGGGCATGTTAAAAAGCGCAAATTTACGGACATGTTAAAAAGCGCAAATTTACGGGTATGTTTAAAAGCGCAAATTTACGGACACGTTTAAAAGTGCAAATATACGGGCATGTTAAAAAAGCGCAAATTTACGGACACGTTTAAAAGTGCAAATTTACGGACACGTTAAAAAGCGCAACTTTACGCACAAATTATTAAGTGCCAGTTTACGGACACGTTAAAAAGTGCAAATTTACGCGCATGTTAAAAGGCGCAAATTTACGGACAGGTTAAAAAAGCGCAAATTTACGAACACGTTAAAAAAGGCGCAAATTTTCATCACTCACTGAAAAGGTGCGAACTTACAGACTCTACAGACTCGTTTGAAAAGGTGCGAATTCTGAAAAGGCACTAGCTGTAAAGGCGCGAAATCCGGGTAAAAGAGCAATTCTACATCATTCATTGAAAAGGTGCCAATAGGCCATTTTCGAGTTATCTTGTGCCTCTGTTTCAAAACGAGCCCTAGTGCAAAACCTTTCCAATGAAAATAAGTTGATTTGGTTGAAAATGGACTTTTAGATGGAACTCATTTTCATAGGAATGGTTTCGCACAGAGACTCGTTTTGACACTGAGGCAAAAGGCAACTCGGAAATGGCCAATGCACAAGCTCGTTTAAAAAGACGTAAATTTACATCAGTCACTGCAAAGATACACATTCATACTGACCATGTATCGATTTATTAAGTGTTGTTATAATATATTAATATTATCATTTTTCTTTACTCTTACTTTTGTGGAAAATGTAGAACATATTTAGAGTCGTCTGTATTTATTTGTGATCCTGATTGGTCCATGTGATTGTCTAAATGAAGGTTTGCCTCTATACCTTGGGTTTCTTGTTCATAACTCGGCCTCACTCTGGTTGACTTGCGGAAGAACACAAAAGTAAATCCTAGATGTATAACTGTGCCCAGCAGAGATAAAACAATCACACAGACAGTGATAACTTTAGAAATCCTTTGATCCCACCTCGAATCGCTTGTCTTTGACCACGAGAAAAACAGCGAAACCATAAGAACGTTTTCAGTTGTAAAACACAGGTAAAACAGTGATGAAGAAACAATGGATCTGCCAAGTTTTATGTCGAAAAATTTGGAATTTAGATCTTTGACTTTGAATCCCAAATACACAAAAATGTAGCAAGGCATGAGAAGACAGGCAATCCACCATACTTCCTTCTCGTTGAAGTATTCATGGTTTCTGTAAAAGTAGATGGAAATACAAACAAACTCATGGAAAGCCAACACTGCTGAAGTGACCCATTTAAAACCCACAAGGAAAGTTACGATTGACAGCCCACGTGCGGCAATGAGACAAGCGTTGTAAAATGTGATGGCAGTGAAATGGGTTAGTGTTGCCTGTTTAACAAAACTGCTATATTCGAACAGAGTTAATACCCAAACAAGGTTTACAAATGTTACAGTAATGGAAATAATCTGCAAGGCGGAGATTTTCTCATCTTGAATAATCGTCACGTAAATCTGAAGAATCATTTGTGGCATGTTTTCCAACAGGCCTTCTACAAAATGGTACACTTTTTCCGCTCTGTAGTCCTGTAGAAGTTTCTCATCTTCGACAAGCCAGCCGTGATAACTCCAAACGTCATCATAATTGCGTAAACAGACAAGAAGCAGTTTGATCTTTAGAAACCCTGATCCGCATGGATTGGCAAAGAATAGAAATTGCTTGACCAGTGTGATAGCTGTTTCTTGTCTACATCTTTGTAAAAAGTACGCTAGAGTTAACAGGGCCGATGGCAACACCGCAAACGCGACGCAAAAGCTGAACCAGATGAATTGGCGATGTTGATAGTAACTTGTTGCTATCAATATGTCTGTTGCTACGTCCGTGCAAGTCAGGACAGCTCCAAACGAATACTTGATTAACTCATACTGGCCAAGTCGTACATCATTGCCTGACATGTCGCCATCAAACTACCGTCCAGTGATTTGAACTGAGATGCCAGTTAAGCAATTTAACTACTACATCCTATGTTGTGATCGTCACCTTTTAGTTCTCTGCTTGTCATCCTCGTAATTACGAGAAAAATAATTCGCAGTTTGCGTGACAGAATCAACAAACAATTTTGGATTCAATTTTGATATTGGCGCAGCAGTTGATCGTTGTCCTGTATCGCAATAGTTATCTCGATCCTTCACCAATCTTGATCAAAGGTTTGTTCCAATCATCGCTTAGTCATCCAGTGTGCTATCTTGTCCTTCCATTTTATAATTCATAGGACTTGAGATTCTGGGCAAATATCACGGCAAGGCCATTCCTAAATCTCTTTTCGTCAGTATGTATACGCTTAGTGCGAGAGTTCAGACCAGGACAAAAAAATACTTATAAACCTTTTGATTTGGAAAAACAGATCTGTCAAAAGAAACCGATCTGACAACGGAAAAATTGTGCACATGCAAATTTTGATCGTTCGGACGTCAAAGTATTTGTTTACCATCAGTAGTTTTCAATAAACAAAACCCCCACCGGGTGGGAGGCGGGGGTGCGGAATTGCCCTTGCCAAATATCAACGCTCTTTTACCTTGGTTTGCTACAAAGGCATTTAGAATATCCATTATCCATTAGGTTACTTTCGTGGTCAAAAATTGAAGTATTGGTTACTTTAGCCCCAAAGTCAGTCATCTCCTAGTGACTCTCCCGGTAATGCTGAGGGAGGGATGACTGACATTTTAATTTTCGACATCACGCAACAAAGATACACAAAAGAGTACTCACACGGATCGGGTCGGGAGAAGAAGTCGACTACATTTCAACATGGCCGACGAAAGATGCTTTGTGGCCTTCACGAATGGTGAAAAAAGGTTCATGTTTTGAATGGGATTTTAGCCTGGATGCAATGCAGAATGAGTCAAAAGGAACTTCTGTTGCCAAACTACGATGCATCTAACGTACAGCAAGCCGGAAGAAAATTAAGTAATCCGTCTCAAAGAAGATCGAAAACTTTGCAAATGGACGTCATGCATTAAAATTATGAACATGTTCAAAGCTTCGAGACGAAGGCGATCAACACGAAGAAGGACTGAAACGTATAGCTCTGGTCCAGCTGTTTTAGGAAGCGAACGAAGTTCTGTGGAAGACAACACTATTGAAAAGACTGGTCCCCAAAAATGTTGTGTTAGAGGTATCCTTTTAAGACTAAGTAAGCTCATGACAAGTTTAAAATTTTTGGTCTACAATCTCAGCTAAACGTCCTAATTTTTGTCTGTTATTCAAAATATAGAGCCCATATCGTAGTCTTTCAATAATCAACATTATTATACATTGTAGTCACCATCTGTCTTCTCATTGGCTAAAAGCCTACAATTAATTCTGGGAAACAGCACAACCTACAGATTATTCATTAATCTGCTAGCAGATTAGTGAATAATCGGTAAGTTTCGCATACAATGCATGATTTCCAAGAGCAATGTCAAGTTCACTTGAGAACATGGCTTGTCAAAAATAAACTGTGTTCGGTTCGATAATGCGTTTGTCGTTATTATTCAATAAAACAATTATGAGATTAGGTTTTTGTAATAGCCGCAATAATCAAGGTCTTGGTTAGTGTTATCAGCCGAAGCCGAAGGCTTTGGCTGATAACACTTACCTCGACCTTGATTATTCCGGCTATCACAAAAACTTCATCCAATAATTGTTTATTGTTATACCTCCCAACTCAAATAGGTTTTCTGATTGGAGGAAAATGTGTCACATGTCGTGGGTCAAAACTCACTAACTCCCTAGGGCGAACAAAACTCACTAACTCCCTTGGGAAACAACAACATGAACTTTCGACTCACATGTGATCTTTCTTTCATTGCAGCATTTTCTGAAAGAAATACAAAATCTGTTCTCTGTGTTACTGTCAAGATCTAAAACCACTTGTTAAAGTTTGTGAGAACTTGAATAAGCTGTGGAAACACTGGCTTGTCGACTCTTGTTCTCACAGGATTTGTCATTCTCACAAACTTCCACTTGTGTTTGTATTTAACAATTAGATATTTATGAGCTTGAGATTTCTATGAGGTGACAGTTGATGAAGCTGAAGGCCGAAATTATCAATTATCATGTCATAGAAATCAAGAGCGAATAATCTAATCATTTTAGTAGAATTCTAACAGTTTTTATTTTTAAACATTAATCAAAATTTGTAAATAGAGTGGTTTTCAATTGAGTGTCAAAAGTAATCAGGCAATTACTTAGGTTTTGGTTTTGGTTTTGGTTTTACTACGGTTTGAGATTTGCTGAGTAGTCTAATTGCTAAGTAATTGGTTTGGTTTTGGTTTTATGAAACTTTATTGAAAAGCACTCTACCCTGTTATACATATCATCAAGTGCTATTGACACATATCATTCCTTTACTAGGAATAGAAATTCCAGGGTTTTATTACGACCCAGAGAAAAAACGTTACTTTAAAATGACCAAAGATCATCCAGGGAAGAAATTGGTTTTATGTCACTGTGGAGGGTGGAAAGATGCAACAACTGTCAATCATAACAGAGTAATACCCAGCAATATTAAAGTCACCAAAGTGAGTATTATAATATTTCTTTCTGTATCCTCTAAGAGTCAGTATGGCAGGCAGGGTATTGTAATAAAAATTTAAAAAATAAATTAAAACAAAAATTGAACTAATAAGGTAGAAAAATGTCAAGTGTCATTTTGTGAAAAATCACAACTGTTTTGGGGCAGTGACTAGGAGTATTTCTACTTCTCCCTGTATGAGATGCTAAGCCATCCCAGGAAAAACCCCAGCAATTAAATTTGCCAGTACCCATTTATACACGTGAGTAAGAGGTGCTATAAGAGTTAAAGTGTCTTTCCCAAGAACACAACTTACACAATGACCCCATCTAGGANAGCGCAAATTTACGGACATGTTAAAAAGCGCAAATTTACGGGTATGTTTAAAAGCGCAAATTTACGGACACGTTTAAAAGTGCAAATATACGGGCATGTTAAAAAGCGCAAATTTACGGACATGTTAAAAAGCGCAAATTTACGGGTATGTTTAAAAGCGCAAATTTACGGACACGTTTAAAAGTGCAAATATACGGGCATGTTAAAAAGCGCAAATTTACGGACATGTTAAAAAGCGCAAATTTACGGGTATGTTTAAAAGCGCAAATTTACGGACACGTTTAAAAGTGCAAATATACGGGCATGTTAAAAAGCGCAAATTTACGGACATGTTAAAAAGCGCAAATTTACGGGTATGTTTAAAAGCGCAAATTTACGGACACGTTTAAAAGTGCAAATATACGGGCATGTTAAAAAGCGCAAATTTACGGACATGTTAAAAAGCGCAAATTTACGGGTATGTTTAAAAGCGCAAATTTACGGACACGTTTAAAAGTGCAAATATACGGGCATGTTAAAAAGCGCAAATTTACGGACATGTTAAAAAGCGCAAATTTACGGGTATGTTTAAAAGCGCAAATTTACGGACACGTTTAAAAGTGCAAATATACGGGCATGTTAAAAAAGCGCAAATTTACGGACACGTTTAAAAGTGCAAATTTACGGACACGTTAAAAAGCGCAACTTTACGCACAAATTATTAAGTGCCAGTTTACGGACACGTTAAAAAGTGCAAATTTACGCGCATGTTAAAAGGCGCAAATTTACGGACAGGTTAAAAAAGCGCAAATTTACGAACACGTTAAAAAAGGCGCAAATTTTCATCACTCACTGAAAAGGTGCGAACTTACAGACTCTACAGACTCGTTTGAAAAGGTGCGAATTCTGAAAAGGCACTAGCTGTAAAGGCGCGAAATCCGGGTAAAAGAGCAATTCTACATCATTCATTGAAAAGGTGCCAATAGGCCATTTTCGAGTTATCTTGTGCCTCTGTTTCAAAACGAGCCCTAGTGCAAAACCTTTCCAATGAAAATAAGTTGATTTGGTTGAAAATGGACTTTTAGATGGAACTCATTTTCATAGGAATGGTTTCGCACAGAGACTCGTTTTGACACTGAGGCAAAAGGCAACTCGGAAATGGCCAATGCACAAGCTCGTTTAAAAAGACGTAAATTTACATCAGTCACTGCAAAGATACACATTCATACTGACCATGTATCGATTTATTAAGTGTTGTTATAATATATTAATATTATCATTTTTCTTTACTCTTACTTTTGTGGAAAATGTAGGACATATTTAGAGTCGTCTGTATTTATCTGTGATCCTGATTGGTCCATGTGATTGTCTAAATGAAGGTTTGCCTCTATACCTTGGGTTTCTTGTTCATAACTCGGCCTCACTCTGGTTGACTTGCGGAAGAACACAAAAGTAAATCCTAGATGTATAACTGTGCCCAGCAGAGATAAAACAATCACACAGACAGTGATAACTTTAGAAATCCTTTGATCCCACCTCGAATCGCTTGTCTTTGACCACGAGAAAAACAGCGAAACCATAAGAACGTTTTCAGTTGTAAAACACAGGTAAAACAGTGATGAAGAAACAATGGATCTGCCAAGTTTTATGTCGAAAAATTTGGAATTTAGATCTTTGACTTTGAATCCCAAATACACAAAAATGTAGCAAGGCATGAGAAGACAGGCAATCCACCATACTTCCTTCTCGTTGAAGTATTCATGGTTTCTGTAAAAGTAGATGGAAATACAAACAAACTCATGGAAAGCCAACACTGCTGAAGTGACCCATTTAAAACCCACAAGGAAAGTTACGATTGACAGCCCACGTGCGGCAATGAGACAAGCGTTGTAAAATGTTATGGCAGTGAAATGGGTTAGTGTTGCCTGTTTAACAAAACTGCTATATTCGAACAGGGTTAATACCCAAACAAGGTTTACAAATGTTACAGTAATGGAAATAATCTGCAAGGCGGAGATTTTCTCATCTTGAATAATCGTCACGTAAATCTGAAGAATCATTTGTGGCATGTTTTCCAACAGGCCTTCTACAAAATGGTACACTTTTTCCGCTCTGTAGTCCTGTAGAAGTTTCTCATCTTCGACAAGCCAGCCGTGATAACTCCAAACGTCATCATAATTGCGTAAACAGACAAGAAGCAGTTTGATCTTTAGAAACCCTGATCCGCATGGATTGGCAAAGAATAGAAATTGCTTGACCAGTGTGATAGCTGTTTCTTGTCTACATCTTTGTAAAAAGTACGCTAGAGTTAACAGGGCCGATGGCAACACCGCAAACGCGACGCAAAAGCTGAACCAGATGAATTGGCGATGTTGATAGTAACTTGTTGCTATCAATATGTCTGTTGCTACGTCCGTGCAAGTCAGGACAGCTCCAAACGAATACTTGATTAACTCATACTGGCCAAGTCGTACATCATTGCCTGACATGTCGCCATCAAACTACCGTCCAGTGATTTGAACTGAGATGCCAGTTAAGCAATTTAACTACTACATCCTATGTTGTGATCGTCACCTTTTAGTTCTCTGCTTGTCATCCTCGTAATTACGAGAAAAATAATTCGCAGTTTGCGTGACAGAATCAACAAACAATTTTGGATTCAATTTTGATATTGGCGCAGCAGTTGATCGTTGTCCTGTATCGCAATAGTTATCTCGATCCTTCACCAATCTTGATCAAAGGTTTGTTCCAATCATCGCTTAGTCATCCAGTGTGCTATCTTGTCCTTCCATTTTATAATTCATAGGACTTGAGATTCTGGGCAAATATCACGGCAAGGCCATTCCTAAATCTCTTTTCGTCAGTATGTATACGCTTAGTGCGAGAGTTCAGACCAGGACAAAAAAATACTTATAAACCTTTTGATTTGGAAAAACAGATCTGTCAAAAGAAACCGATCTGACAACGGAAAAATTGTGCACATGCAAATTTTGATCGTTCGGACGTCAAAGTATTTGTTTACCATCAGTAGTTTTCAATAAACAAAACCCCCACCGGGTGGGAGGCGGGGGTGCGGAATTGCCCTTGCCAAATATCAACGCTCTTTTACCTTGGTTTGCTACAAAGGCATTTAGAATATCCATTATCCATTAGGTTACTTTCGTGGTCAAAAATTGAAGTATTGGTTACTTTAGCCCCAAAGTCAGTCATCTCCTAGTGACTCTCCCGGTAATGCTGAGGGAGGGATGACTGACATTTTAATTTTCGACATCACGCAACAAAGATACACAAAAGAGTACTCACACGGATCGGGTCGGGAGAAGAAGTCGACTACATTTCAACATGGCCGACGAAAGATGCTTTGTGGCCTTCACGAATGGTGAAAAAAGGTTCATGTTTTGAATGGGATTTTAGCCTGGATGCAATGCAGAATGAGTCAAAAGGAACTTCTGTTGCCAAACTACGATGCATCTAACGTACAGCAAGCCGGAAGAAAATTAAGTAATCCGTCTCAAAGAAGATCGAAAACTTTGCAAATGGACGTCATGCATTAAAATTATGAACATGTTCAAAGCTTCGAGACGAAGGCGATCAACACGAAGAAGGACTGAAACGTATAGCTCTGGTCCAGCTGTTTTAGGAAGCGAACGAAGTTCTGTGGAAGACAACACTATTGAAAAGACTGGTCCCCAAAAATCTTGTGTTAGAGGTATCCTTTTAAGACTAAGTAAGCTCATGACAAGTTTAAAATTTTTGGTCTACAATCTCAGCTAAACGTCCCAATTTTTGTCTGTTATTCAAAATATAGAGCCCATATCGTAGTCTTTCAATAATCAACATTATTATACATTGTAGTCACCATCTGTCTTCTCATTGGCTAAAAGCCTACAATTAATTCTGGGAAACAGCACAACCTACAGATTATTCATTAATCTGCTAGCAGATTAGTGAATAATCGGTAAGTTTCGCATACAATGCATGATTTCCAAGAGCAATGTCAAGTTCACTTGAGAACATGGCTTGTCAAAAATAAACTGTGTTCGGTTCGATAATGCGTTTGTCGTTATTATTCAATAAAACAATTATGAGATTAGGTTTTTGTAATAGCCGCAATAATCAAGGTCTTGGTTAGTGTTATCAGCCGAAGCCGAAGGCTTTGGCTGATAACACTTACCTCGACCTTGATTATTCTGACTATCACAAAAACCTCATCCAATAATTGTTTATTGTTATACCTCCCAACTCAAATAGGTTTTCTGATTGGAGGAAAATGTGTCACATGTCATGGGTCAAAACCCACTAACTCCCTAGGGCGAACAAAACTCACTAACTCCCTTGGGAAACAACAACATGAACTTTCGACTCACATGTGATCTTTCTTTCATTGCAGCATTTTCTGAAAGAAATACAAAATCTGTTCTCTGTGTTACTGTCAAGATCTAAAACCACTTGTTAAAGTTTGTGAGAACTTGAATAAGCTGTGGAAACACTGGCTTGTCGACTCTTGTTCTCACAGGATTTGTCATTCTCACAAACTTCCACTTGTGTTTGTATTTAACAATTAGATATTTATGAGCTTGAGATTTCTATGAGGTGACAGTTGATGAAGCTGAAGGCCGAAATTATCAATTATCATGTCATAGAAATCAAGAGCGAATAATCTAATCATTTTAGTAGAATTCTAACAGTTTTTATTTTTAAACATTAATCAAAATTTGTAAATAGAGTGGTTTTCAATTGAGTGTCAAAAGTAATCAGGCAATTACTTAGGTTTTGGTTTTGGTTTTGGTTTTACTACGGTTTGAGATTTGCTGAGTAGTCTAATTGCTAAGTAATTGGTTTGGTTTTGGTTTTATGAAACTTTATTGAAAAGCACTCTACCCTGTTATACATATCATCAAGTGCTATTGACACATATCATTCCTTTACTAGGAATAGAAATTCCAGGGTTTTATTACGACCCAGAGAAAAAACGTTACTTTAAAATGACCAAAGATCATCCAGGGAAGAAATTGGTTTTATGTCACTGTGGAGGGTGGAAAGATGCAACAACTGTCAATCATAACAGAGTAATACCCAGCAATATTAAAGTCACCAAAGTGAGTATTATAATATTTCTTTCTGTATCCTCTAAGAGTCAGTATGGCAGGCAGGGTATTGTAATAAAAATTTAAAAAATAAATTAAAACAAAAATTGAACTAATAAGGTAGAAAAATGTCAAGTGTCATTTTGTGAAAAATCACAACTGTTTTGGGGCAGTGACTAGGAGTATTTCTACTTCTCCCTGTATGAGATGCTAAGCCATCCCAGGAAAACCCCCAGCAATTAAATTTGCCAGTACCCATTTATACACGTGAGTAAGAGGTGCTATAAGAGTTAAAGTGTCTTTCCCAAGAACACAACTTACAGAATGACCCCATCTAGGAATTAAACCCAGACAACTCGATTCGGAGACCAACATGCTAACCATTAGGCTTCTCAAGGGGAGAGTAGTTATAAATACTCAATCTTAGTGGCTTGTAATATGTGCCTTGTTAATTTGAATACTAGAGGTTGTATGGTAATAATTCTTATTCTGATTCATATTTGGACAGTAAATGCACATTAATTTGATGAAAAGATGGCCATTGCAGTCCAAGGACTGGTAGTAATGGAAACAATGGGAACAATACGTATGGGTTATTGACCAAGTGTGAGGTCAAGATGGCTGGATATTGGCCAAGTTCTTTTTTTTTTTTTTGCATGTTTATGGACTGAGACAGAGTCTCAGTCCATAAACTTGCAAAAAAAGAACGAGGCCAATATCCAGCCGTCTTGACTGAACAAGCTTGGTCAATAAAGGACTTATTATATGGCTTTCAGGGAAATTTTTCTTGCGGGACACGGCAGGTAGTCCCGAGCAGGCAAGATAGCTCCATCTTGCCCGCTTGTGTAGCCAATCACAGCGCAGGATTTGATTCATCTTGCCCGCTGACGGAGCTGGCCATATAATAATAATGATTAACACAATGAGAACAATGATGAAGTAGACAGACCAACTCATTTACCGTGGGCTCATGCCTTCTAATCCCCAGCAGTGGTTAAATCGCTGATATTGTAATATAATTGTTTAGTACAGTATGACTTTGCTTTATGCATTACAATTTCAGAAACCATCAAGGATATCTATAGCCATCAACCTAAAGCACAGAGAATATTCCTGCCACTCACAGACACCCAGTCGGTAAGTGAAAAACCTGTTACACATAGTCAATAAGGTGTGCGGTATTTCCACAGATTAGTGCATTAAACGCTGTGCCTTGATTAGTATTAGCATGAAGTTGAAAGTCCCCATTGGTTTCCTCAATAGAATGCCAGCTCAAAAAAATGTGTTTGCAGGGTCCAAAATTAACTTTTTGACATTGGCACCAACTGGCAACTTGATTAAAACTCTTAGTCACCAGCAAGTGATTTGCGATCACCAATTTACAAACAAAAACAAAATGATAAAACACGAAGAATGCTTGTTTTGGACATTTGAGACGCTTCCCATGTAACCTGCACAATACAAACGTAAATAAAAATAATACTCTTTTTGATCCTTTTCACAGGAATATGCTAGAAAAGCTTACTCGCGTGCTGAAACTCAAGCAGAAGTTAACTCTTGATCCTAGTTCTAATGACTTCTTCGAAATGGATAGATTTTCAGTTTCAAGAATAGAGGTAACTGGTAGACAGTCTTCTATTCTGCAAGTGCTAGTTACTGTTACCAGTAAGTAACTATTGGTAGAAGCATACAAGCTGGGAGTGGGGTGGGGCTGCAGCCCCTCCAGCTATGGAAATTATGTAATTTGTTTGGGCAGCACGCTCATGGTTTGGGCAACAACACTTATTTGACAACATTACAAAACAATGCTGTTTCATGCAATATGAGTGCATTTGTATCCCGATTTCAATACTCACGCATCTGAGTTCACACATTTTCAGGCAGGAAGGTCACACCCCCCACCCCACCTCAATGTCCGAAGTTGCCCGTATGGGATGGATAGCATAACTCTTTCACACAGAGAGATGTGGCTAGCCTAACAAACATAATTTTGAATACAGGAAATTGCCAAACTTTGAGTCACAATACAGTTCCTTTTGTCAACTCCCCAAAAAAGGCTAACATAAAGTGGAAGACCAACTCAGCTGCTCTGACTTTCACTAAAATTTTGTAAACGTACCAATTGTCGTCTGATTCTCTGGCTGAGGATCACAGCCCTACAACTGGTGTATAATTCAGTCTGATAAGGTGTGCCAATCATGCCAGCAAATGTGGTTTATGCCAATTGCCTGGAATAACATAAGTTTCACACCCTTCAGGTTGACAACTTCAATCTCAGGCCTACTCGCAGCTACAGACCAATTTCTTGTGCCTAGCCAAAATTTTGAGCTTTTTTAATTTACAGCCTTTTAATCCTACACTTTGGAAAAGTCAATACTAATTAAACTAGAACCAGTTTAGAAAAGCAATTCAAAGTCCATGTAGGTGACCCTACTTCTTCGATTCTCCAGTTTAAAAAAACTGTTTGTATTTTAAGAAAATAAATTGCTGGCTACAGCATTTTGTTGCCGAAACACATCCTACATGTAGGGCTAAGACTGCCAAAAAAAAATGAAAATTGACAAAGTCTTCGGAGTTCAATTGTGTACAGTCAGTCGTATTTGAAAGTCATATTACTTTCAGGATAACAATAACATACCTTTGAATTCAAAAAGGTTGTTGACAGGTTTAGTTTGACAGACTGTACAAATAATAGCTATTGACTCATCAGAATGTGCATAGTAATTTACCGGTATGTCATTTAAAGGACCCTGGTCAGCCTCTGCCATTTTCAATGCCATGGAAATTATTGGTTTTGCATGGTGAAGCTAAATCTTAATGCTTTATTGTAAGTTATGTTCCTGAAAGTATGTTTAACGTTTTATTCTCTTTAGTAGTATCACAATGATTTCCTTCGTTTTGACATGCTCCGAATTAAATATAATAGCCAAACTCTCACATGTAAACAAAAACAAAGCCGTGGTTGACTCAGGCCCTTTAAGACATTTTCTAGATATCCACATGCAGTTCACTAACATTGTGTTCATGTCATATTCATTACTAGCCAGATGCTTGTCATGAGAGGATCTTGACTCTCTACGATACCAAACCTACAGGAAACCAAATGTAAGCTTGTGGTGTATTCCTTTATGTAGTTAATTAATACCACAGTGTGTTGTCAAGTTGCAGTCTTAGCTGAAGTGAAACTGCCCCAGTATCACGATCTTGTTTATGATAATTTGCAAGATTTATATATACTTTTTTTTTATTTTGTTCTAATTAAAGCTTTTGAGGGGCTTTTGAAAGATTTAAATTACTGAAAGGTGAAAAGGTTTTGGCATGCTAAGTGTTCTTTCAATCTATATTTTGCCCAATTCTGTTGTCACATTATTTTATTATCTTCACTTACAATTTGAATTTTACTAAAGGATTGACTGTCTCCCTGTCTTTTGTTTTACGACTCAAGCTCCCTTATAATTTTTCAGAGTCCAATTCCATGACCTTTTAAAAGACCAATACAATAATCTTGATGTTGTACATAATATGGCTATGATGAAAAATCAGGTAAGTGAGCAGTTTATTCTTTTTTTTTACATGCACATTACTTATCTTCCTCTGCTTTTTGAATACAGCTCTCATACCCCTAGCCTCAGGCCTGGTTATACACAAGACAGACATCAATATTATAATCAGCCACAATTGCCATTCTTAGTCAATAACAATATCATTGTCATCAATAACGAAGTTCATGTTGTTCAGCTGTGGTTAGTTAGTGTACGTTGTTGCTAGTTGTTGATTATCATCGGATAGTAAAATGAAAAATTTATTGGTGACAGTTATTCATCATTAAACAAGACTTGTCAGCATATTGTCTTTTTTTTCAACCTATGTAACAGCAGATGTAGAGATCCCTTCACTTCGTCATCCGATTATTTTCAATAATCAGTTAATAAGAAGTTTAGACAATTCCTAACACTCCTTTAGACATTTGTGTGTTTAAAACAAAAAATGTTCTAACTTGTCTTTTAGAAAATAACTGGCCTTCTTTGGAGTCCACACAGAGAAACAAAAAACATTTACATGTATCCTTTGAAATACTGAATAAGTGGTAGAATAACTTGAACTGTTATTTCACATAAAGATAACATCTATACAATGATTATTGCACCCTCAATTAACAGCTTGTGCAGCATGGTTCAAACAGACAGATCAAGGGGTCATGGCCTGGGTTTAAGCCTGGCAGCTTGCAGGGTTCATTGTGTTGTGTTCGTGGGCAAGTCATATTAAAATCACAATCTGTACCTCAGATGAGTACTGAAGAATCATTAACTAAAGGCAAGCTCGATAATGGTTTGTAACCAGCAGTCATGGGTAACAGTGCTATGTTACGCTCTGACATCGTAGATTTTACCATAAATGTTGCCCACTCAGATACTTTGGTAAGAAAACAACTTTATTTCAAGTAGTCATGTGGCCCCAAAGTAGTTAATGAGTACATGATTTTAAGGAAAACTTCCAGCTATATAACAAATCTCATCACATTGGGATCCTTGATAACATTGGCCAAAAAAGTAAAATTTATTGAATTTAAAGATTGTATTGTAATATTAGAAAATTTGGCTCACTTAATATGTCTTTCCATTAAAACCCTTGATCTGTAACCTTAAAGACATGAAGGAATTTTCTTAACATTGAACGTTATAGAGCATCTTTACTTGGACATGGAAATATGTCTGGAGAAACCATGATCTTTAAAGTGGATGGTGCTTCACAACGTAAGCTTTAAAACACATTCATTTTGGCTATCACCAGAGATCTGCAATTTGTCCAAAGGGGCCATGGCTACATGACGGCCTGTCTGAAGCAAAGATTGGAGCAGGTCATGTCGGGACTAATTTGTGGCAAAGTACATGTTTAGGGTTGTCTAATATTGGCCAAATTTATACTAGAGGTGAATTATCTGATGCCAAATTTATATTATTCATACCCAGTGTAAATTCGACTGTTCCAAATGCATTGTTGTGCCACACAGCACTATTGATAATAGAAGCTATTTAATTCTCTACTTTTCAGTTTCTGTGAGTGTTGCATCACAAGAATCACAAGATTAGAATCATGGGATCATGTCTACTGAAGACATCCACGGTCAAGTGTCAATCAATAGCCTCGATCGATACCCTTGACTGACACTCCATTGACACCCCGGTTGACACTCATCGAAACTTGATCAACACTCAATCAACACTCAATCAACTTCTTGGTCGACAGTCAGTTGAGAGTCAACTAATTTTGTATCAACGCATGTGAGTCGGTTGACACTTGGCCGACTATTGGCCTACTGTTGATCGAGTGTCAATCAAGTGTTGATTGAGATGTCGATCGAGTGTCGACTAAGTATCTATCAGGATGTGGATCGAGTGGTGGGCAATTGAGATGTCAATTATGGGTTGATCAAGGGTATTGATTGACACTTAACCACGGATGCATTTAGGACACATGATCCAAATGATGTTGAGCTTGATGTCTCCTTTATGCCCGTGCTGGCATTTAACGATTCTTATTAATATTTTTTTTCTGATTTGACTGTAATTGCTTTCCAAATTATTGACATTACATGAATTCTAGAAAAGGATAAGGCCAGCCAGCTATGACACAAGAGTGTAAATTGTACTGCAGACTTGAAAAAAAAAGTAATCTCTTTTTCTGCTTTAATTCATCCCATTCAATCAGGTATAGTTGGCAGATGCAATGTGCATAGCAATACAGTGTGGACTAATTCATGGAGCAAAAACCCTCTCTACAGTAACATGATAAGTATTGGTATGTGAGCCCACTGCAGGCTCTTCATGGGGTGACAACCCAAAGTTTAAGTTGAAGGATCTCCTGAGATATATTAAAACTCAGAACAATAATTATATTGTTTTAAATCTATTTTTCCAGGGGCCAGCAAAGTAGCTCTCACATTAGATGTGACCACAAAAAGACGTGTAATTCATGTGAAATGTGTTAGTGATGTGTTTGCACAGGAGTTCTCGTGGAGTGTAAGTTGAAGCCGGGAATCTGTGTTCTAATGGAGTCACGTTTTATGGCCAAGTTGTTAGCGTGCACTTCACCACTTATCACCAGAAAAATTGTCACTACTGTGTTTCCCCTTCACATTGAATGTTATAGATTTTATGACTTCATGGTACCCAAGAAAACATCGAGTTTCCGTTCCCTACATTACATTTCCCAAGCCTGCCCGTTTTACCTCGTGAACATGTGCATTGTGCAAGCATCTTGAAAGTCCTTGCATTTAAAAATCAAGATTCAGGGCCTTGAAATTATATAGCTTTTAAGTACAGTGGATCCTTGAAAAAAAAAAGAAGAGCTTGACGAAACCGAAGCCACCATGGTGCAAGAACTAAGCATCTAGCATCAAATTCTATTGGTATCGTGTAGTGGTTAGAGTCCTTGAAACATTGCAATCGTGTCCTGGAATGTCCTTGAAAAGTCCTTGAGTTTGTAGGCCAAAAAACAGGATGGGCCCTGCTTTACTAGTATTTTCACAATAGCTTGATCAATTTGTTTCTAATTGATAATAACTGCAAATTCACCCTTTTTGATTTTTTTCTGATTTATCTCAATATTATTTTGCAGAACCCTGTTCTTTTCAATGGATCTCGCGATGGCTGTATACGTACATGTGATGTGCGCACATTAGGACACAACTGGCCAGTCATGTGTCTTAAACAGGGAAAGCTGGCGTCAATAACATGCTTACGTGCACTGCACAATGAAAACCATTTGTTGGCCAGTGGTTTGGATGGATCGGTATGAAGTTGATTGATGTTTACTGGCAATTAGGCATCCTTTGTTAGTGAAATATTTAGGCTTCCGTAGGACGCACATGCTTCATCTTGTTAACAGTGACAGTTTTGTCATGACTAAACTTTAACTAACATAGTAATTTCTTTATCAGCTGAAAATGTGGGACCTAAGAGCGAAGGCCTGTGTGTTGGATTATAGAGGGCACGTTAACGAGATTACGCACGGGCTACCCTTCTATGTGGACCCCACTGACTCAGTAATCTTTGCCGGTAAGGATCTTCAGTTGCCTATTCGTTATATATTTCAAACTTAACGAATGTGAGATAATTTATCGCTGAAGACACTGCATACCTAATGTACTAGATAAGGTGCCCTCTCTTAACACATATTTGCAACCCTGCTTCACTGTGCAATAGTACTGCAATAATTTGCATGCATTGCAGACCTATAATGCTACATTAGTTTATCAATGTGACTTTTCTTTGAATCCTTGCAGCTGGTCAAGATTCCGTGACTCGTATCTGGAGCATTGGAAGTGGTGAACTGCTTCACTCGATCCCATTCCCTAAGAGTGTAGACAAATCACTCAGCCATATTCCTGCTCTTTACTACTCAGAGGGGTGGGGTGGGAAAGGAGGGATGCCTGGACTGTTGTACGGAGCAGGAGACTCAATCTATTCTTATTCATACTGAAGTGAAGAAAGTGAAGTCTACATTACAGGTCGTCAATGATGGAAGACAAAGCGACTTGTGTACTGGATGAACTAATCGCTCAGTGCATTCTTGAAAAAGTGACCTCTGTCAGTGGTGAAGTATAAAATTAATGGAAAACAAACCCAGTTCCCAAAAACAGAAGGGAATTAAATATTTAAAGCAAAAATTTGTACTCTCTCATGTAAGAACCTCATGGTGTCGAATAATGAGAAGTCTTATGCAGTTCTTCACATAACCTTGAACAGATAAAATATTAAATTCAATTGCAAGGTAATAAATAAATTAATAAATAGTAATGCGATTATGAGTGGTTTCGTGCTCTCTTGCTTTGACAATTTAGATGAGATGATCAAGTAGTGATTACAATGAATGATTTACAAATTGACAAAGCCGGGAAGTGAAAGGACATTTTGAAATCCAACCTTGTTCCAGGCTCTCTCTCCTCTGCCTCCCAATGGTCGTCGAGGCAGAGGAGAGAGAGCTTGGGAACGAGGTTGTTTGAAACCATTAAGTGAAGTGATTACTCCGTGCGTCATTAAAGAGGTCTAGTGACTAATTGTATCAGTTACAACTTGCAAATTTGGAAGTCTTTCCAAACCCCCTTTTAGAATGGAACAGTAATAAAACAGCAACGACAACCCACTTAGTAGATAATGGAAGTATGGGTGGGGAAGTTTTCAAAAAGGTTCGTTGCCTTTTTAAAAGTTCATAGTCCAAAATGTCAAAGTTTACCGCTTCAAATATTCAATTCCAGTTGTCATCAAGTTCAAAATTGGCTTTACCACTGGCCCAGGACAGTTATTTTATCTTATTTCATTGGCATCTCTGAACCTAGTAAAGAAGGCCCTAAACAGGACATTAATATTGTATTGTAACAGCCTTTTCATCTCATGGCGGCGGAACAAGGATGATGACAGATGACGGTTTGTAAGGTATAGTGATGATCCTTAGAACAGGATTTGACTGGGAGGTATGTAAATGTAGGAAGGAGGGCACTTGAATTGAACTGAATCATCACTGAGCAATAAGTTATAAATATTGTTGTTGAACAGATTTTTATTTTACATGTATACAAGAATCTGTGCGAATGAGTTCCGTGATTATTTAATTTACAAGTTATTTTAATTTGTAACATCTATTTTTTTTGTTTGAAAGTAACAGTACTCGCATGCCCAGCATTATATAATCATCAAGACATCTTATTGAAACGGTGAATGCCAAAAAGAAAAAAAAATTGCTTCAAAATTAGCTTTATCTAACGGTGATAGATAACCATAGAACAGTCTATAACCATCAAGATATCTTATTGAAACGGTGAATGCCAAAAAGAAAAAAAAATTGCTTCAAAATTAGCTTTATCTAACGGTGATAGATAACCACAAAACAGTCTAT